GCACGCTGCGCTGTAAGAAATGGAGTACCATACGAAGATCGGGTGACAGAAGCAACCGGAGAATCAAATGGGAAGCATTGTCTTCGGTGGTCACGAGAGCGAAATTTGCAAAGAGCATCGCACGACGATTTGAGCAGATCCCAGCGATGACAACTGATGTTGAAACCGAGTGGCAACTGTTTAAGAGAACCCTACTCGAGGCTGCCGCCGAATGTTGCGGATATAAACGGGTTGGCCTGCCGCCCGGAGGTATTCCCGAATGAGACATCTTAGGCAGTGTTCCACCTCGCCGCTACAACGAATCTGCATGCAAACTTTTGCTTCATAGGCAGGAAACATGAAAACATGCAGCCTTACGCAGGCCATCGGAAAAGCGAGGGTGATTTACTTAGTTCTACACTTGTGTTTGTGTTTTGATAGTCATCTTAGGCAGAACGTCTCTGGTTTATGGTTTTACAGCATTCTAAGCTTTTCACTACATTTACTACATGGAAGCGTTGCTGCATCGTAGAAAGAACGGTTTTTCCTTGATCCCTGGTCTATTTTAGAACTTTTGCTTTTCAAAACTCACACTTAATTGGCTTATGAATTTTCATCTTAAGCACAGTTTTCGTCGAACGAATTACGATCGTTAATCAATTGTTATGTGTAATTCACGTCTTTCTGTATGGTTCAACTTCTGGGCGTTGTCTTTAATTTGATCCGTTAGCTGAATTACAGGTGAATATAGTAAAGGGGATTGTCAACGTAACGTCAGCTGATCATCTGAATTAAAAACTTTACTTTCTTGTCATGTATTGTATTTAACCCATGACGCTGTTGCTGGTCGTTTGTTGCGAAACGCTGCTGTGTTCATCCAAACGATGTCTATTGGATGAATTTGCGGCCAAACAGTGGATTAGTATTAGGTTAAGTAATTCAATATTCATTTTGTCGTAAATTTGTTTTTTTTTTTAAATAAAAATTCTGTTCATTCAATAAAGGTAGGAAACAAAGGCAGAAAAGAAGCCTTGACTTGATTTATTGCATGTCGCAAAGGGCTGCGACACCCAGCGCTTTCTCTGACCATTTGCCATTTGTATAATGGCTGATATGATATATATGATATAAAAACGGATTTTTGTGCAAGACTTGTCATGTAGTTTGTTGATAAGTACGGTCCAGCTCCGTTGTGGTCAGTTTCGTCCCTGGTATATCAGCTATCCGACAAAGAATTTTTTTTCATCTGCCTCTGCATTTTAAAGCATGCTTTCGACGCATTACGAATCATGATATTGATCATAATCGTGTTTCTTTGTACTGTTTGGCTGAGAAATGCGCGCTTTTATTTTTTATTTCATCATACGAAAAGTACATAGTAATACCAATTTGATGTTTGATGTAGTCCCAGTTTCCTGGCATCCACAAGTAATTCATCATTCGAAAATCTTATCAGGTAGTCTGTGGCTGAGTATTCTGGGCAGACAAGAGCATTAAATAATGCCTAGCGCATTGGATTCCTTGTTGGTAAGTGTTGGTGTGATTTCCGCATGCAAGTACTAGAGAACGCCTACTAGATATAAACTAAATTTCATCGACATACTGACAGCATTTTTTTACAGACTTTGTTGCTCATATTGCAGTTACTTTGAGCGTTCGAGATTCGTTCTTGAATATCTGTTTCACAGCTTCGATCACTGATTAAATACAATAACCCTGCTTAGTGACATACCTCAATAAACACATCTGCCCGTAAATGTTTATGATGTTGACATCCTCTGCGGCAAGGAGAAATTAGCATTTCGATGGCTTTCATCACAGCCAATGTTTTGCGCTGACTGTTTCTATAGCCGTCAACGCCTTCTGAAGTTCTTCTGGTTTCATGACAATAATCACGGTGGAGTTAATTTGATCCATTTCTCCTAACTGGCCTCTTGATCGATAGAATATCATTTCGTTGTGAAATTCTCAATTGCTTCCGTCATCACGTTTTAGCAATTGAACGCACTTTTCCGGCAGTCGCTCCATCTCGCAAAAACTCAGTGATGGAATATAAGTAACATACAGTTTGAGACTAAATGAACAGCTGCAGTAGAAAAATCTTACTGTATTTTTAAACTTTGGTTAAAAATTTGTGTGAAATTACAAACAGTTCAGTAAAGTCCCCTTCATTAATTCTTGGAGCTTGATTTTTATATTCGTTACGTTAAAAGAGTAACTTTTCCTATGAATAATGACGTGTTTTGTTCGTTTTAGGGTGAGCATTAAAGAATCGTCCGTTACAAAGTTAGGCTCCGTTTGCAGACGAGTATATCGCATATTTTCTCACGCCTACTTTCATCATGCCACGGTTTTCAAGGAATTTGAGGTATTCGATGCAGCAGGACGCGCCTAGTTTGTAATTAATCGATTCTGTAACCTTATCTAAAAATGCGCATGTGATCAAGGAACCTGAAAGTGTGAAAGTCATTCGTAAGGTTATATTTAAGCTTAGGAGCGTGCTTCAAATTTTAATTTTCTTATTCAGAACTAGGTCGTTTGGCTTTGCATTTTTGAAATGCAGGTTGGAACCCAAGCTCGGTGTAAAGTTTATTTTTACGGCCTAGTTTACTTATGCAAGGATTGCACTCCACTGTGATTCTAGTGCACTATCTGACAGACGGTTAGCTGTTAGCTGACCAATGATCCACGGGGTTAGTGTGATATTCTGCTCTATTCATGCTGTCTTATTCGTGCATCTTACAGCTCCATTTCGCCTTGGCCAACCTAATTGGGGACTAAATCGGCATAAGGTGCAGTTTGTAAATAAATGGAAATTAGTCATAAGTCTTTATGCTAAAGAATCAGAAGAAACGTGTAAACGTGACTGTCACCAAACACATTTCTCACCATCATCAATCGCTGTACACATGTCTTGTTGGACAATGTGACTAGGTTATGGATGGAGTTAGTACCTTCGCATAGTACTATTTTAAAAGGCAGATCTGTGAGCTGCGACGATTGGTAACATTGTTTCATGGTCTTTGTTCTGTATGCATATATCACGGTGCCAACTGACTCGTGAATTGTTATCTTGTTCGCATCTTTTTCAGGCGGAAACACATTTGTGCCACCGATTTACCGCCTACGTCATCAAATATAACCTAATGTCACACGAACATCTCATCGTCCCATCTGAAGGTGAGTCTACTGAAACGGAGGAGCCTGTGACGAAAGCGGAGTCTTCCTGATGATACTGTTTTTTGTACCTAAGCATATGGAACATCATATGAACCTGCGTATGTGTAATCAAAGTGTGTGTCGCAATTGCTGTACCGTGTATTGATAACATTCATATACTTCGTGATGCTCTTGCGTTCTGGTGTACGTATGTTAATAATTAGCACTTTTTGACAATATTTTTTTTCATAAGTAGCAATTTTCTGGTTAGAATCATTTGTATATAATCTTTTGTTGTAAAGTGGATTTGATTCTTTGTTCGATACAATTCAAAAATGCGAAACCCTTGAAAAGTTGTTATCATGTGCCGGTATGAAACATTGCATTAACTACTTTTCTGCTGGGTAGGAAACGAAAGAGGGACGGTGCTATATCACATGCCATATCCAAGCAGCGTGGTATGTATTGTCCTTGGATAACGGATTACAAAGCGGTCAGTTAGAAGGTAGGTCATCAAAGACAATAGAGCTACAGGTTTTATTATATAAATCGTCACTTGTTTTAAATGTTTGAGATTATAAACTGAAATTAATCTTTAATAATTCACGCTTTTAAATGATGTAGCACAACAAATTGAATAAACGCAATCGTCGTTCAGAAAGCGAATGATTCGATAATCGGTGTCGGATATCCTTTCTTTCGGTGCTGTGCAATCGTAATGATGTGATTGGCTCTGACTATTTTACTGTGTCAGTGAGGGTAACAAATAATAGTGATTGCAGAGGATTGATGACAGCGTATTTCGCTTTCATCCTTATAGCAGTACATCATTATGACTTTAACCGTCCGTGTTGTTCAGTGCTTTTAACTGTTAATCCGCTAAAGTTATCTACGGACCCAAAGTTGAAAACATCGATTTGGTATTTGAATGTTTCGTTAGGACATTGTCAATTTTGCAATACTATTGTTTCGGTGTCTTGCCTTTTTGCTGGTAACACGATTTTTGTTTCAGAATGATAGAGTGCATTACGTAATTGTCATGTGGGCTCTGTGTGACTCGAGGGATATTTTTTGACTAAACTTCATAAGGAATCAGTGGAGGAACGAAGATCCTATGCAATCTACTAATTTGTTCGGCTCTTTGTTTCAGTGTTGCTAAAGTCATCGAAAGTATGTGTAGTCTATCAAAATATTATGTTTTGACTCAAGGTGGATGTCTTGAGAAATTTTTCATAAATCAGTATTTTTACTGTTCCTTTTCTATTATCTCTATCAAAGAAATTTTTTTTGGTTTCACTGTGTGAATATTGTTAACACTGTACAGGAAATATGTAACATTTTGAAATATTTCACTTTGTTCCCAATTTGCGTTTTAAAGATTGAAATGCTGTAGTAAAACCCGTTGTTCATGGACTTTAAACTCCGTGTTTTTAATGTTCCTCTATGTTGCTGAGATGTTTCTAAGAAAAAGATTAATATGCTTAGGGATAAAGCAATTGGTCAGTATGAGAGTGGAGTTATTATGTAATTTTTTGTCACGTGACTACTTAAGAGTTAGAAGGTTTCACCAAAGTTAATATACAGGCAGACCGAAACTTTTGCTTAATCGAATGTTGCTTACATGTTTACAGTACATATATACAGTAGTAAGTTGACATGCTTTAACAGGTTGTTTCAAATAGCTTCACACAAATTAGATTTAAATATGTAATTATTAATGCACGATAATATAAATAAAACAGTGTAAGAGAATAGAAAACTATAAATATCTAATTTGGCCATTTAACCTTTATTATGAAATAAGAAACGATTCCAACTGACTGGAAACGGCATAAAACGCGATTTATTTATGCAGATAGTCTAGATGCGTTGCAATGCATCACGGTATGTATGCACTTATGTCGCACTTAAGCATAACATGGCTAATTGGGTGATAGGTACTGGCGAATCATACGAATGGTCACATTTCTTGTGTTGTATAAAATTGAATCGAGTTTTATGCCTATGCTATTTTCAGCATGGCAACCAACGTATGAACTAAATGCTTGATCTTAAAATGAAGAGTGACTCCTTTCTTCTCTTTATAAATCACTCGATGACACGTTAAAGTTTCATTTATTTATCTGTGGACTTCTTAGAACGATGGGATATCAATGCCCATCGTATGCAGTAGTGCCGTTCCTGGTGAAATCGCACCAAAAGTGATTGTCATCTATCGTCACAAAATTGGACGGATGATTTGAAATTGTGTACGCAACGCTCACTCACGTTCCGTTCGCTAAAATGATGCAATGCTGAAAGTTCTAAAATATTCAAGCAAACGCACGCATCGATCATTATGGGTGCGTCCCAAGGACATCATCAAATGCTACTGTCAAAGAGCTCATGATGACGCTGCAAGTTTTAGTCACCAACAAACTTCGAGATTTGCTCATGGTAGCTGATCAAATTCCAGAATAGTTCATCATGCGTGCGTGAGGTGAATCCGTGAAATCCAGCTTTGGAGGAGTCATGCATGAGATGAAATCCTCCGGCGTACGAACATTCTTTGAGTATCAACTCTGAAACATCGTTCGTGCTAAGCGCAAGGTGGCTCCAGTGCGCAACTTGCTGCAGGATGTACCTGAAACTGCACGGGCTGAATTATCATGGAGTTGCGACCTGCTTTAATGACCCTCTAAACAACT